ATTTTAATTGAAAGAATATCATTTTTTCTTAATTCTAAAAAACCAGGGATTTTAACTCAGTTTCAGTTATTTTTTTCTCGAAGTAATAAAACGACCTGGATTTTTTATTATGAATCTGAAAATGTAGGAGCTTAAAAATGGACCAACAGGCAAGGGCAGTAGAAAATGTCAATTTCATTCGCAGTTATGGATATAGATTACCGTTGAAGCTCAAATAATTGATTTAATAAGAATAATTTACAAAATTATTTACAACTGTGTAAAAATAAGCAACCTCATTACAGTTTCTTCCAGTTTCAAGCGATCTTAAGTTATAATATTTTAAGTTTCCTTCGTACGAATAAAAATACCTACCTCTGAAGTTAAAGTTGTTAAACAGTTTTTTTTGTATGCTTTCTATTCTGACATAGTATTTACTGTAAATAGGGTTCCAACCTGTGGATGAGTATTGGAGAACAGGTCTTATGCTACTATTGTTATGAAAACATACTTTCTGCATATTTTTCTATTTTTTTTTTAATGAGTATAGCGGATTGATTTGGACTATCCCTATCATTCTTCTTAATTTAATTTAAGGAACAACTGATACAAAGACAACAAATATATATTATTTATTTTAAATTTTATTTTGAAACATTTTTGACCCTTGTATGTACAGGCGTACAAACAGTTTCGACAAGTGGAGCGAGTGTAACAAAGGGATGCGAGTGACACAAAAGGGGTTTTCGCATCTTTTACATTCTCTCCGGTAATTTGCTTAATTTTTGTCTTAAATTTTTTAGTTTTATTATGTTTTATTTTTAACGCTTATTTTCGATTTTCTACTTGTATTTTATTTATTATTTATCTAAAAATTGATCAATCCTTTTTAAAAAATTGCCTTTTACGTTTCGGCGATTTTTTTGACATTTTCGAGCCGTCAAGCATGAATATATCGCAATCAACCCATTTTAACACTTAACTATAAAAAATGCATTTTTTGCTTTGGGTGTCTTGCTTATTTATTGTGTTTTGATTTTAGTTACATTAATAAATTAGTTGGATGGATGATTGATTGATGCATGTTGATTCAAAATGTAACTGTTTGGCAGCACCCAACTAATTTACTTTTCTAAAGTATTTTTTGCCTCTTCAAATGCTTTACATTTTATTTTTTTGTGAAAAATTTCTAAATATAACATAACATACAAATATATATTTATGTTATCGCATCAGCTTTTGCTTAAATTTAGTTAAGAAAAATAATAGGGGTAGTCTAATGCAAATGAAAAATACTAAAAAAGTGTGTTTCTATGATAGTAATACTTCCTTAAGATTTTATTTATTTTATACTGTATGTTTTCTATTTAAAATAAAAAATACAAAACAAATTTGTAGCTCTAAATCTCCCCAATGGTTGACTTTTATATAACAAACTACCCATTACTTCAACAAGGAGTCACCCCTTTAAGTTTTTCACAATTGTATTGAAACACCCTGTATATATTTTTTAATTGCTTTATATCTAGTGGAACTCGATTTATTACGCTTTATCCTTAATGTTCCAAAGACAAAAGCTCCTAGAAAAACGCAATGCAATTTACAGGGGCGTCCGGAATTTTTCGAATGGGCCGCGCCGTATATTAAAATGTCGACGCGTTCCTTTAATATTTTTTACCCTCGTCCAGAGTGGTCCGTAAACGTTTCGCGAGGCCGCAGATAAATAAACACTCTCTGTTTGAAGACCTCGCGAGTTTTGCCAAAAGTTGTAAACACTTGTAAACAGTACGGCGGCAGTTCAAAAATACCGCGGGTACGTTATACCCAAAACATAAATATAACCGATCCGGTCTATTAATAAATCGGCGACCTAGCCGAATGGTATTAATTATTTCCCGGTAGGTTGGCAGCTCCAGAAATCACTCGCGCGCCGGCCCATTTTTTTTAAAAAGCGTTTTCGCACCTCGCGGCCCGCTTTTTTTTTTCGAAAATCACAAGTGTCTGCTGACGTAATTAAATGTTTCGCGAGAGGTATTTTAATTGGTTGATTTATTTTCGTAACGGCGTCGGGACCGCTTGACGGCTCGCCGATGGCAAAAATATGGCGGGAACGTAAACGATAATTTTTGAAAAGCGAGTGTTTCGAAGAGATCGTTTTTTTTGTTCGAATGAAGTACAAGTAAAACACAAAAATTAAACACAAAGACGCCTAAAAATCTTACACAAAAGTTTTGCCGAAGCGCATCTATAAGTTGCGAAAATCCGTTGTGTCGGTCGCATTCTTTTGTTACACTCGTTGACGCTTGTCGCAACTGGTTACATAAATAGCTATGATGTAATTTTTTGCTAACATTTTTTGACAGTTTGCTTTATTTGACGTTTGGCTGCCATTTCACTTTTCATAAATCTTCTGGATTCCTTCTGCTTCAGTTTTTGTTGACTTGAAATTACTACTATATTAATATCTAGCCAAATATTGCAATAATAATGAAGGGCCTTAACCAACTTGCGCACTGGCAAAATATCACTGTCGATTTTGAATATGCTTTTGAGGCTTATTTATCATCTTACTATCCTAAATACTAGTTGTCTTACAACAATCAAGTGTAATAATAGCACTAGTTGTTGAACTACTATTCCCCGTTCTGTATTAAAGAGGTTAGGTTAGTTTTGGTTAGTTAGATATAGTGTTGAGAAATTTGGAAAAATAGAATCCTTTCTCCCGATTTTAAGAATACGGGTTTTCGGTTTCCAGAGACCACGTTAGCAAACATTTTTCCTTTTTTATTGCGAGGGGCAAACCACCATCGAAAAGGGGTACACTCGACTTCATACAACCATGGGATTTCACAGATTTCACGGATTTCACAGAATTTTTACCGATTTTCAAATATTTTTTTACCAATTTTACTGATTTTGATAAATAATAAATTATTTAAAAATTATTAAAATTAAAAATATATAAAAAATACCATGAGTCGTCCCAGTCTCAATATTAAAATAAAAATAATTAAATTAGTTATTAAATACGTAAATTAACTAATAAATACTTTTTACAAAACTTCTGGATTCCTCCTGCGTCGGTTTTTGCGGAGTCGAAATTGCTGACGTTTCGCCAATCATGCTGTTTGAGTCAAGCTCTGAAGAAGCCAACAGGGTTATTGGCGAAACGTTAGCTAGTTCGAGTAAACAAAAATGGACGCTAGAGAAATCCAGAAGTTTTATAAATACTATTACAGTAGCCGGTGGAAGTTTCGTTGAAAAATTAATATACTATTTCCTTCTTAAGTGAGCGGCTCTATAAAATCAGTTACGTTCAAACCATGTAATCATAATCTCTAAGCTGAGCTGTTAGATAGTTTTCCCAAATTAGTAAGTACTATTTGGCAGCATTGAGAGGGGACTTGTCTCCCTAGCAATTTTGGTGTCCCAGTTTTCGCAATCCCAAGTTTTAACGGATTTCACCGATTTTAAAAATAATTTTTGTATTTTATCGTAAGTATAGTATTATAGTGAAAAAAAAAATTATTTTGAAAACGTGGTAAAGTGTGTTGTCAGTGTCAGTGTCAATGTTAGTTTTAAAAATATAATCTTAAAATTCATAAATTTTCAGTGCGGACACAAAAAATATATTTTTTTAAATTGTTTTCAAAAAGTTTCGTAATTTTTTTCTGACTTACATTAAGTAATTTTTTTCGTCATATGTTTAACACATTTAGTGAATAATTCCGAAAATTAAGGAAAAATTGCACCATCAAAGCTACATAAAAAAAGATGAAAAAATTAAAACATATTATCAATGAAATTTGATTGATGTTGATAAAAATATTTACTTTATTTTTTATTTATTATTATTTTATTATTAATTGTTTATAAATGATTAACTTAAACGTAATGTGCTCAAAAATCTAAGAATATTTTTCATCATGTCATGTGTTTGATTGTGTCTGATTTCGCAGAGTTGGTATCTTATAATGAATTCATTTTTCCTATGAGCTGAACTACGCAATTTCGGTCACAACCAAAATTTCGTTAAATTCAATTAAAATTGTCATTTGGATTTTGTACACCTCGATGGCAAATTTATTATTACAGAGATACGATCGTTTTAAAATTTCAATTTTTAAAATAATCGATGTCTTTCGCCCAATTTTTAAAATCTCCGTACTGAAAATATATTAATAGTCACATACAAAATCGAATTAAGTCGCATTCCGACACAGGGGGAAAAAAGTCTGTTCTTTCCGATTTTTACGACGTAGTGTCCGGAATTAAAGCGTCGCAACGGCTTTCGGGGATCGAAGCCTGGAAAATTGAAACGCGGAATCTAAAAAACCCAGAACAAACACGGATTCAAATTCATTTCGCTCGTTTGACCCGATTTGCGATTTCGAACGGCGATAATGCGGAACTCTAAACCCCATACTACCCCATACCCCTTCCTGCGAGAGACAAAAGGACGAAACGTTCGGGATCGTCAAACGCTACGGTAAAATTAAAACATAACAAAATCACTAACTATTTACATAGTGCTATTCACTATACACTTTACTGATAATTTATATTTTATGTTGCACGGTTTGTTTTTGCGACTGACTGACCAGCGGGTGGCACTTCGATTTTATAGAATGCAGCGCTTTCTCACTATCGAAATCCCTTTTATTGCAGGTGAAAAGTTTAGAAAACTCAACAAGTCAAGACGTTTTTAATATTTATAGTAGGATAATAAAAGTTTCTTAGCAGACTTTAGTGCCTTTATTGTCACATTTATTCAACGTTTGTTTAACAACTGCCACATTTCCACTTCAGTTTAAATGATCCCACGATTGAAAAATGGTAAAATGTCGGATTTAGATAGTTATCGACGTATTTATTTTTAAATAATCATAATACATAATTTGAACCAATGCTCTACTAAGGTGATATCGTCACTCTTCTTGGACGACTTTTTGTTACTACGTTTTTTATATTATTTTGTTTTGAAATTATGGACAAACGCAATTTATACGATGTTGTTGCAGGATCGATTCACCACTGATATGGCTGTGACGATATATCCAAACGTGAAGCTCAGCTGGTAAGTTGTCACGTCTGATGTCATTTTCAGTAATTTTTCGAGGACGAGCTAGCGGCTCGAACCTCGCAACAACGACGTTACATCCAAAGGAGACATTAACACATCGCTAAAATCACATTCTAAACGACCGTATTGTCATATCTATCAATATAATTTCAGAAAATTGCAGGAGAATTTCGTCCTCGTGTTGATTAAGAACGAGTATTGAGTTTTAGTTAATTATCAATATTCTAACTTAAACATTGTTAACTATAAAATGAACTGCTAGCTCCTTTTCCCAACACGGCAAGTGATGATTGACTTATGCACCACTGGAAAGTTAGTTTCTTACAAAAAGATTGTTACGGTTGTATTTCATAATTGGTTCATTTCTAATTTCTTTTAAAAATACTACTTAGTTATCCATGGAATGTTAATCATACTGCAATGAATTCGTTGAAAACGGGTCAACTAGATTCGTAATTTCTTCCTAGTTCTGAATCTAAAATCAAAAGTAAACAAAATAAAAATCTACTCATGTCTTATAAGGGATCTAGTTTTCAACTCACCTAGTATGTCTTTTGGAGTCGAGTGTATGTTAGTAAGACGATCTAATTAATATATTCATCAATTTTTATTTTATAATTTAATTCATCTTCGAAAAACATCTTTGGTTGTGTTGTTTGATATCCCGCTACATTGGTTAGTTATCAGCAGGCAAAGTAAAACAAAGGGGTTACGTTGGTTATTGTTGTAACCACGCTTTTACTAGTGGTTAACTAAAAGTTGGTGTTTTATCAAATTTTTAATATTCTATGGTCTGATACGAATCAATATTGATCATCGCAAATGTTATTTACTTTTCGACTTTGATTTTTTCTTTGATCTCACGACAACAGCAGAAGTGTTGTCAAGAAGGCGCTGTTGGAAATCTTAAATTTTGAGTTTGTTTTGGGCAATTTAGATCCACAGCGATAAGTTTAATAATAATTAAAAGTCTCTTACCTTCAAACAACAAAGTTTTAGAGATTTTGCGAGTGAATTGTGTGGTTTACTTTGGAGGTAACGTCGGACTTTTGAAATATTTTCCGCCATGGCCTGTGCGCGCTATCACCGAAAATTGATCGAGCTAGGTATTACGAAAATTAAAACTCGTTCAATTTTTAGGTTCCGTATAGGCCCAATCCGTTATTAGACACATCGTAGACTATAGTTAGACTGGTTTTTTCGGAGGGGACGTATTTTAGCTATTTGATCTTTGCACATAGTGATAGACATCGTTTCATTTATTTAACACGGTTAGCACATTATTTGTAACTAACGTCTGTTGCCTTAATACGTAAACAATACGTACCGCACTAGTTAGAGTTATACTATACCATAGAGGTTGAGGTTTTTGTACGATCACGAAAACATACCCCAGTGCCCTTTAGATACGATCTTAGTAATTAGTACCTATTAATCCGTAGCGTTAGTGTGGGCGACATTTTGAGTCCTTGGAATACGGTATTTTGTGCGGGGATTGAAATGAGAAAACAGAGACAGAAAAAAATGACGAAATAGATTAACAAATTAAGAAACATTTTCGAATACTACTTTCCAAGTGATTGTTAATTTTTCGTTAACAAAATCATTCCCTTAAAAGTGCAAAAATATTTATTTTCATGATATACGGGGTAGATCGATACGATGTGCGACTTTCATTATTTTCAGATTTTTAAAATACGTTGAACTTTATTTAAAAAATATGTTTTTTATAAATCTCCCAGTTTTCCACATTTTCATATTTTATTGAAAATTGACAAAAAGGAATGCTCCATACGCCAAGAAGTCTATGTACGACACATATTTTGTTTAATACTTTTAGTTTAATAATAACTTTTAGTAAATAACACCCTTTTTTTATTTTAATTAAAAAATTCTTAAAATTTACATTTAGGTATTTGGGTATAATTTAAAAATATATATATATAATTTCTTCCTTCCTGCCTCCTTTCTTCGTTAATTCCCGTGCACGCCCCTTTAATAAGTGTAAAAAACAAATGGAAGGCATAATTTAAAAGAAATCTCCTTAATGGGTGGATCTGTCCAATGTCCAGTGCATTCTCCGGACTTTAGTACTCTGGATTGTATTTTTTGAGTCTTCAGTGCTACTCTAGGTTAGAAAAGAGATATCGACATTCGGTTTTCAGTAGTGCGTCGCACTCTTATTTAGCCATCTTTTCCTGAAATGAAAGTAATATCGATGAAGAGAATATATTTTATGTGCCGTAATGTCGCAAAACGAGCGATACAAGGAATTGAAATCAATTCATTCAGGGCGGAGTTGATGACCGAAGAAGGGTCTTTTGCAACAACTTCAAGATCGACAAAATACTGAAGTTATTGACATCTACTTCCGATAATATTCGAATAACCACCACCTCTGTCCTTTAAGAGATAGAGCAAAAAAAAATAAAAATAAAAGGATTGTACCTCACAAAGCGGGATTTAAAATTGAAGATCGTCATTACGCCCCCTGGCGACCATTCTAGAAAGTTAAAGATAATTCCTTCTTTAATTATGAGTTTTTTCAACCCAAATCTTTAGGAGAGATACTTTTCGTGATAGGACCGAGTGTCCTTTTTAAGTGGCCACCCTGTACAATAATCGCAAAATAAACAAAAAATAAGAAATCATGCAATGTAAGACCTTTATTAAATTGAATAGATCTTTTTTTTTTCTAGTATGGCGCTTTTAATTATAAAATTTATGCGAAAAGTATAACAGACGAATTGAGCATACCAAGTTTTAACAAAATATGCGAAAAAATGGGAGATTTATTTATATATAATGCTCGTATTGTTCTTTGATTGAGGTTGTTCAAAGTGAAAATATTCATGTCAGTCAGTTGAATTTCCCTAAATCATTAAAATTATCACTAAGATTCTTGATAAAGATCCACATTGAGATGTAACTTAAAAATTTAAAAAAAGAACAGCTCAAGCATTCGTATTTCCAAGTTGAAGAAGAAAAGAAACTATATATTTATATACTTAATGAATAGATAAATATAGTCGATACCAGTTGCAATGGCGTAGTTGGTCATAAAACCAAGCTTATCTGCTTCTCCTCGTATACTAAAAATGGCAAGACCTACCTTTGTTTATTTCTCCCCAGTGTAGAGAGAGCACAAACCAGGGTCGCATTTTTGAAAAACTGCTGCCGAAACTCGAAAGGCTCTCTTTAATTGTTATGGATAATGCACGATATCATTCTAGACTTAAGGAGAGTGTAACCAAATGCATCGTACAAGAAAAGAAATAAATATCAATTGGCTGCTCAGTAAGCGCATTAATTTCGCAGAAAATGTGTGTAAAATGTGAGTTGGTAAAAATTGTCAAAAATTACAAGAGAAACTGAAAATTTAAGATTGCCTCCTCAACATGGTATATTTAATTCCATAGATTTGAATAGAATATAAACTAAATTTGGTTTGCTTGTATTTTTAATCTTGGCAAATTATACTTTATACGGTTTGATATATATTTTTTAATTTTCTGATTTTTTTGGTATTGTTTGCATTGCATGCACAAAGTTCTCGAGCAACAGTTTATGTAACATATCATTAAGGAACAGCCTGATCTATCTTTATTTATCTTTCTTTGAGTATTGGCGTACAGTTAACTGATTGTTTGCGTTGCGTTGATCGGATAGATATTCACAAGAACTGTTAAAGTATAAGCGGAAGCAGAATGAATAATTTGTTTTGTTCTTTCTGGAATTTTATTACCGACTATGCCATCACAAATCGTACCGACTGTATATTTCTTTAGCCATTTTTCCGACTCACCCTGTATGTAAATACCGATATAATTTTCGTCTGGTATATAGGCTTCGCATTTTTACTGCTGAATACAACAATGCGGTTCGAAAAAAAATATAATAATAGTTCGGAACTGGGCAAATCGATAATGGATATGACCGTAAACCAAGTTGCGCGTATTAAGTCGATAAACAGGGATCGACATTGGAATTTGGAACGACGTTCTCATCGTCGGTGCCCAGACATTGGGCCAAACTTTGTTAGGCAAAATGAATTTCCTACAGCTTAGGAAGCCGGGTCAAACAGTTAATAATGACTTTGAGGAAGTTCCGAACGTAAACCGTTTATCTTCTTCGCTGCATACGTCTTGCGTTCGCCGTACGTGTGACTATGACCGATATCCGGGCACGAATTGCAGGGGGATCACTTCTATCTACTGAGTGATCACGATCTAAAGGCGTTCACGGCCTCAATACTCATACCGTTTTCGTAACAATGCAATCGTTATTATTACATAGTTATAAGCCACTAAAAAAATACGATCCATGGAAATTGACAACACATGGAGACAATAATATTGAGAAGTAACTAAACAACTATTACTTTACAGACAAATATAATTAGTGAGCACACAAAATGCACAATTCATTAGTGTTCTAAAAGGTAATCTGACTAAAACACTCTCTCATTTTTTTAAAATTGCCTAAAAGGTAGGTTTTTGAGATTAGACATGAACAATATTATATAATATTGTATTGTATATAAACAACAAATGGGTATATGTACAGTGTGTCCCACTTAAAAACCGTACACCCTTGTAAAATCTTTGTTTATGGTTCAATTTTGAGATTTTTTGTTGTTGGATAGATATCTCAAAAACACACTAAATCCTTGTTTGTTTTATTGCTCCAACTTAAAGTCATGACCAACTGAGACTATTTAACAAAAGAGAGTGAAGAAGGAAGTACTAAGTGTATTTTTCGGAGACCTATCAAACAAAAAATCAAAGATTTTACAGTGGTGTACAGTTCTTAAGTGGGACACACTGTATATAGAAGGCAGGATCATTGTGGATATTGTTATTTTTTATTCTAAAGGTTAAACTAAAAAAAAAACAGCAATTTAAGGAATAAAGTGTCGGGTTTTTAACTTAACTAATTCACGACGCATTATTTCGAAAAAAAAAAACGTAAGATTTAATCTCATATAGCTACTA